GGTAATTATGAATTTAAATGAAATATATTCATTTATTAATTGGATGAAGTGTTTGGTTGGGAAAGGTTGTTCGCAAATTATATTCATTTTTGAACTCTTTGTTTCGTTTACTTAATAGGTTTGTTTTTTCTTTCGTTGTGTTTTGACATTTAGAGTTGAATTGGATGTTTTAGGAATTATCTTCAGTAAAATAGGCTCATATCTGATATTTGAAGACCAATTTTTACTTTCTTGGTGGATCCAGGGTCCTTGTCCAGGGAATGAAATTTGAGATGGAAAATTCCAGATATCCAATTTGGGATATTCAAAACTTCAGTTCCATCAAAGAAATAATATCAAATATCTGATTTCCCTGGTGACGGTGGATTTAATTGTTTCCAAGAATTTGTCATTATCATGTCAATATATATTTCGATGGTAAGAGACAAATAGTTTTCTAACTGGTAGTTAATTACTCTTATGTTGTTTTTCTTTGAATTTTCCAGAGGTTCTTTTTTTATTTTTTAAGATTCTATAGAGTAAGTTTTTAGTTTTTGTGTTATTTTTCCTGAAGTTTCTATTATAGTATTTTATCATTCAACTATTATTGACAAATACCCACCTATTTTATTACAAATGAGGTCCGTCAAAAATCACACTGTAAAACCTCTTACTGGAAATAAGATACTCAATAAGATTTGTAGAATGATTTGATCAACCTTCTAAATTGAAAGTCAATGAGAGATTCCCATTCCCCATTGCTTTTTCATGGAAACGATCCACTTCAGATGCTCAGAATGAAGCTATGGATAATCAGCAGAGTACTGTTCAGTTCCCCAAGGATAATCTAATACCAAGTGTGAAAGCTCTGGCGTTCTACAGATTTAGCACTTCCATGTTTGATGTTCAATATGCTGATGTAAGTGAATTGAAGGCACCAATAAAAACCATCACTTACACGATAGTTTATTGTGCATTTTAGTCAATTATGTCCTTGAACATATTATCGTTCGTTTGAAAATCATTCTATTTCTGCTATTTTCCTATCCAAGGTACAGATTGGACCCTTCTATTCCACAGAAGGTTAACAGGCAGAATTGAAGATCAAAGTACGCTTACATCTGCATGGTATTATTTTGGTTGAGTTGGCAACTATATCTGTGTACAACTATTTGAAGTGTTCCGTTGAATATTTTCTGAACTATAACGGCCCTGTTTGAATTTATAAATTAGCTCTTGGAAAAGGAGGTGGAAGTTCCTGTTGTCAAAAGAGTCAGCAAAGGAGCCGTTCAGGATGGAAACAAACAAGGTTGTTATGTTATTCGGAAACTTTTTTTTTTTAATTGTGCTTACAGCTTTAATTGAAAATGAGGTATGTGTTTTAATTGAAGTTTGTCTCGGAATCCAAAGCTTATTGAATGTTTAGATGTAAATTGTGATCATTTAGAGGCCAAATTATGTATTAGGATTGGTTTTGCAATTTACAGTCACTGGAATAAATTAAATACCATTGCCCCATGTTTTAAGAACAAATTCCAAGGCATATTAGGTTAAATGCATGTATTAAGTTTGAATACCTGGGATGATACATCCTTGTGTATATGGTTATATGAAGTTTTCTCTAAATTGTAAGTGAATAAATTAATACAGAATAAAAAGATCTTTTGCCAAAGATGTGGTAGAATCCGATAGTTTTCCATCCGATTTGTTCACGGCTTCAGTTTTGGTGTTCGTTGGCATGACCTTTGCACTTGCAATTATTCTATTGTCTACAGAACTGCAAAATGGAAGCCAATCTTGACCTATCGTTCTTAGGAGAGTTAGTAAGAGTTTACTGACCTTAGAGAGTTTCCTTTTAATTGAAATGGATTCAACAGCATCACTCTTAGATGAAAGAGTACTGCTGCTTGTTGCAGAATGGAAATTCTTTAGCATCTTCTTCATGAAACGTGTTACATATCTTCCCCTTGCTTCTTTATCTGATTCTTCATATTTCCTGCTAGGATCATCATGGAGTAAGTTCCTCTTAAAGAGCTCCCTAAATGATGTCCTTTCTTTTTTTGCCTCTACCCCAGTCCCAACCAGTACAGTTAAAGAGCCAAAGAGATAATTTTGCAGAGGACATGGCACAGTGTTTGTGCCTTCAGAATCTTCTCCTTCAATCTGCTTGTTACTAAGGGTTATAATACTTGCTTTACTACTCATCTCTGAAGAGTCGTTGGAAATCACTCAGGATACTTAACCCAGAAATGGAAGAGTATGTTGACATTCGAAGTCATTCTGATATTACTTTCAATGCCCAGTCAAAAGTGAAGGCCTTGGAGATCGTTGAAAAGGCAACAAATGCTATCCTCAGCCGCAACTTCCACCGGGTTTGTGATAATGCTTTTTTTTTTCAGGTTTCCATATGCGTCCAAAGGATCTTCAAGGAATTCAATTGAAAAATTGTACAAGTATTCTTGATGGGGTTCTGATGAAGTTGGCTGGGAATTGCATTTCTTTGAATTTTCTGTTAGTTCACGATGGTGGTCGTAGAGATGGTTTTGATCAATTTATGGTTTTTATTGGTATTACGCAGTACTATTAAATTGGGATCACTTCTCGGATTCCCAAGCCTAAAACAAGATGGGGTTGAGACAAATTTGAAAATTAGATTTCGAATTGGGTTTTCAATTCAACTTCAGGAGAAATGAAAGCTGGAAGTACGTCCAAGCTTATTGTCGATGCGCTGTTGCAGCGTTTCCTTCCACTTGCCAAGCGTCGAATTGAAACAGTTCAAGCACAAGTAAGATTCTGACTGGTTCTTAATTTTATTTTATTTTTTTGGGTTTGATCAATAAGATATGCAGAGCTCATTGGAGAGCTGATAATGAGGATTAGATTGTAGTTTTATGTAATTACGATGGGTTGGAATATATTTTGTCCTCTTCCTTATCTTCAGTTTGGGCAAGGCAACGGAATTAATAACATACATGAGAACAGATGGGCTAAACATATCAGATGAAGTGGCAAAGGATGGCCAGTCCTTTATTATGTATACTTCATTGTTGCTGCTAGAGATTCCCTTCCTCTTGATTCCATTGCCCGATTGATAGTTGCAAAAATTGGGATAATTGTCACAGTTGTTGATGACAGCCACCTCACATCACCACTACAAGTCACCTTTTCGTTAAGGTTTTTACGACAAGTGTAATAATATGCTTCTCTTAACATGTAAATATCCTTAATGCTTAGCAAAATGATACTGGAGTGTCCAAATTTTTGAACCTGTGGCTGTTTCTGTTGTTCTCTGATGGATGCCTAGCATAGATAGAATATGATTATTGGTGTACTTGTGTAAATTTGTCATCTATAATGCAATATTTTGACACGCTAACATTACCTTCAAAATAACACCGCCCGTGCATTGCACGGGCAAACGACTAGGCTTAATATAAGAGGAGATAAAATGAAGAATTTATGCTCAGATTAGGGGTTTGTAAAACTTTAAAAAGGAAAATATTGTCCTGTAATTTTCACGAGGTTTCAGAATGTAATAAAAACTAAGAGGAAAAGGAAGAAACATTAGAAGAGAAGTAATAGAGTAAAAAATCAAGTGTGTATTTTATTATAACAATGACTCTTACATATTATTTTTTAATGGGAGTTATAATTTGAATAAAATACAATTTTCAAAAGTAAAACTTATTTAATTATCTTGATAAGATTAAATAATCATCAGTAATTATCACGTGAATTTACAAACACTCCCTTGTGATGACTATTACACAATGGCTGCTAGGTCTGGGCATAATTCGGGTTGGGTTGGTTTTGGGCCCAACCCACAAATCGAATTAATCAATTTTCGTAAATTCTAACCCAAATCGACATGTTCCAGCTTTTGAAATCGAAATGAACCAAATATGTCTGAGATGGTTTGGTTTGATTAGTTGGTTTGGACATTGATCCGAATTAAATAATTTTGCATTGCATGTTTTAGATTAAAAAATTATTTATATATATGTGCGCGCGCACGTGCATGTGTGTACGAGAGCATTTCTCATACCCATTAATTTGACAATTTTTTTTGATAAATAACCGTGACCTTTAATTTAAATTGTTCCAACAATCAAAATTTATCCATTAAAACACTAAAATCTCTCAACAACATCGTGATTTTCTATCATCTTATTCCATTCTCCACTACCGAAATTCATGGCAAAATTGAATCTGCAAACCACCACTTCCTGGAAAGAATTCCTTTGCCCATCCATATCTGTGATCCATTGAATTCAAGCGAAATTGAATCTCCATCATCCATGGGTATATGTCCTCACCTTAAGCATCAATTATGTCAAGAATTCGGTGGATCAAGGAACTTCCATTGATACAAAACTTCAAGCTATTTGTGAATATTTGGCTAATTCGTCGAGATAGGGGATGAATTCAGCAAAGGCCAATTTGGTTTCTGATCCAAAGACTGAAAATTTGATACGAGTAGGGGAACGAAAAGTATTGTTTCGAATGATGAGTTAAATGGAAGATTTGGGTATGATAGTATCCTGGTCAAGGTCTCCTTATTATGAACTTGTTTGAGTCCCATTTTTAGCGAAAAATGTATTTTAGAATAGTGATTTGATGGAGAATGTGTGGCTAAAAAATAAGAAAAAATTTTGGGTTTGCGTGTAATATTATTTTATTGAAAAATGTATAGTTGAAAATAAGAAAGAAAAATGTTTTTTTTTTTTTTAAATGGAAAACAAACACACTCTGTGTTTTTCGTATTTTCTTTAGTTTCTTGATTTTTTGATGTAAAATTCGGGTTTAATTTGATGTCAATTGAGGCATTTGCAATGGAGTTTTTGTGTTCTAATTTCTGTCCATTGTAAAATTCGGGCTAAATAGTTATGTTGATGTAAAATTTGGGTTTAATTTGGTGTCAATTGGGCATGATTTGATGCTCAATGAAGGATGTTTGCAGGTGAAATGCAACCAAAGTTAAACAGTTCTGTTAATGATATGTTTCAAGAACAATTCAAGTATGAGCATCAAAAATCGAAAAGCAGATTTGCTGAATTTTTTAGTGGTGAATTCGACATAAACTATGATGTAATGTGTATGTGTATGTCATTTGTTACGTGGTTTGTGAATATGTGATTTATAAGTTAAAACAAATAAATGTGTAGAACTCCCTCCGTCCCAATTATATAGACTGAGTTTTTTTTCTCTTATCCCAAATATATAGGCTTGTATCCTAATATAGAATATTTTGTTGTTTTTTTTTTTNTATTTTGTTATATTCATTTACTAATATACCCTTATTAAATTTTCTCCACTTAATATGTCAACTACTTGAAATCATTCAAATACACACATTTCCCACTTCTTGAAAACATGGAACAACTCTCATCAAATTACATCATTCAAATTCTTTATTAATTCCAACAATAATTTAGTTTTACATACTGAAAATTAAATAGGGGTAAACTTGGAAAGATCTTGACAAAAATTAATTTTCCAATGACATTAAAGAAGATTTCTTAATCCGTGTGAAAAACAAAACGATCACATATAATTGGGACGGATGGAGTAGTTAAAAATGCAAATTTAGGTTCTAATTAGTTGGAAATTTGGTTAGAAAGTGAAGATTTATGGTGGATGTGATCATTTGTAGAGAAATTATCAATGTTGTCAAAACCGGCTCGATCCTGCCAGTTCGACCGATAAAATCGGGAATCGGACCCAAAATCGGGACAAATCATGCTCGGTTAACTAATTAAGACAAAATCATTCAAAACCTACTGAACCGGTTGGTTCAACCGCAAACCGGTGAACCGGTCGCGGTTTTGAACGGTTTTCACAATTTTTTTTTTTTCTGTTTTTTAGTTAAGAAAATTTGAACTTCATGATTGGACTTCATAAATTACAATTCTAAAGCCCATAGGGAATTATTGGATATCATGCTTATTTTATAGATGCACTTTTCTCAAATGGTTTCTTAAACTTCCAACATGGGATAATGTCTTTTATAAATGTTCTTCTCTTAAATAGTTCATAAACTTTCAATGTGGGATAGTGTCATAACAAAAAAAATGTTAAAATGCCCGTCAAAATCATTTTTCAAATGTATGTCTAACTGACTAATTTGATTTTGAATCTCAACTAATTAAATTGTAATATTCACCTTCATCCTTTCATTTATTTAATTTTCAAATTTAATTTAAATTGCATTTGCTTATTAATATATTAACGTTAGATATCATTGTCTATAAGTTTAAAATATTTTAATTTAACAAAGTAAACTATTTTAACATATTGATTTTTAATTCTTGAAGTATCGAGACTAATTGTAGGATAATGAATATAATTAACATAGATAGATTTACTTTGAATTATTAATATGAAAATTAAAAAAAAAAACTATTGTTTTCATAGTATTTTATTATTTTTGTATGTATTTATTGCATTCGGTTCGATTCCGGTTCGATTTCGGTTGAACCTTTTGACCCTTGACCCTTCAGCTTTTTCGAGTTTATGATCGGATCAGTTTTCAAAACATTGGAAATTATAGACAAATTTTAAAAAATTGGAAGGGTTAAGGTAAAAGGTGTGATTGAAAGAGTCGTGAGAGAAAAGAGAAAATGTTCAAATTTATTGTGATTTTGCCCTTGTTTGGTAGGGATTAAAATCGAGTTTTTAGTAAATTTTGATAAAAATTGAAAAGTTGTGAATCTCATGAATATGTTATTAAAATTAATTGTTAACTTTGATTTGGATTAGAATTTAGATTTCAATCGATACCAAATAGAACTACATCGAAAAAAAATAAAATCCCAAAACCCTCCTGCGTCCGCCAGTGATTGGGATTTCAAATCGTAATGCAAAGAAATTTTTGAAGATTCTATGATTCTTCTTTTGATACCATGCCTAACTTATTCCTCTAACCACATCCAGTGACCCAATTTCATCCTCTAATTAAAGATAAGTCATAAAACTATTTTGCAAGTTCAGAAAACATATATCTCTTCTATATATAAAGTGGCTATGAAACGGAATTTGTTGTTTTAACGATAAATTTAACAGAATTTGTTGTTTTAACGAAAAATCTCACGGAAGTTATTGTTTCCGTTAAATAGCAATTAAGTCTTGACCCATTCCTTTCATATTCCTTGCTATTTGACTGGATTTGGCTCCTAAATTGCTCGATTCTTCTCCTTCTCCACTTGAAGCCTGGTAAATCTCTTCTCCC